GCTCCGCGGGCCCCTCTGGGCGGGGCCGGGCGTGCGGGCCCCGCGCCCCCGCGGCGCCGGCCCGGGGGGGGGGGGGGGGGGGGCGGGGGGGGGGGGGCCACTCCACCCCTGTGCCTGTTTCACAACAGCCCCCGAGGCTGTGAAGGTAAGTAGCCAGTCCCTTGTCGCCCCCGAGGCTCTGGTCTAAAAGTCCATCGGCAGAACCCCCCCCCCGGAGAGCTGCACCCACCCCTTGGCCCCATCGCCAGCACCACACCCTCCTGTCTGGGTCCAGCTGGCCTCCCGGCCCGCGTCCCCAGGGCTAAGTGGGGGACCTGACAAGGGCTGATCCCCGGGGCTAAGTGGGGGACCTGACAAGGGCTGATGGACGTGGCGTGGGGCTGGTAGTGGTCCTGGGGCCTCGTTCCGATGACTGCCCTTCTATGTGAGCCTCGGCCACCACCTGTCCTGCTGCAGCCACCCTAGGTGGGTCCTAGCTGCTGTGTGCCGGGCCCTCGGGCACCAGAAAGTGAGCCTGGCCCGGGGCTCTGCTGAGGCTGGCCGTCTTCCGGCATGTTCCCCTGCGGCTGGTCAGCCGGGCTGTCAGGATCTGGCCCGGATACCCGAGAAGTGGGGTCAAAATGCACGACTTCACCTGGGGGCCAGACTCCACCCTCAGGAATGTCACCCGCCGCGGTCAGGGGTCCTCCCTCCCACCCCGCGAGAGTACCCCGTGCCGACTGTCTGCTCGGACGCTGGCGCCCCAGCCACAGGCCGCCGACACCGGCGTCACAGGCCTTCGGGGACAGGCGGCAGGGGTCCCCTGCAGAAGGGTGGGGGTGGGGCGACGCCCCGTTCCCACTGGGCCCACACGCTCCCAGCCTCTCCCCGGCCTCGGCCTCCCACTGGAGGGGCAGGAGCGCGGCCGGGGGAGCCCTCGACTCAGGCCGCCAAGACCGCTGGCTTGTGCGCCCGACAAAACCGGCTTAACTTCTCACCAGACGAGTGTAAGTCAGTCTCTACGTTTTTAAACCCGACTTTAAATATGCGAGCGCTATGCACTCTGGCACATTGTGAAGTTCTACTTTCTAAATATGGCTTCGTTCTTTTAGATGCAGCCAAGGGGGTCTAACGCCTCACTGCTCAACAGCCTCTGTCGCCGCCCCTCTCAAAACGCGGGCACCACCCTCCTCTGGGAGGCCAGGGAGCGTCCTCCCTCCCGTCTTCCCCGCTGGGTTTGCATCTCCCGTGCCGCCTCACGCGACCTCGCTGTGACGAAATACATCATGAAGTCTCTCAACGGCCTCCCGACCCAACATTCTCGAACAAGTTTACATTTCTTACGCGCAAGGCTTTAAGCCAAACAGTTCCTCCTGGATGGGTTACTTGAAGACACTCCATCCTGAACGCTTGGTCTGCGTCTCGTCTTGGCTACGGCCACAGCGCCACCGGGCGCCCCTGTGGCCACTGTTGGTGCCCGCTGGAAACTGAGGACCGGAAGGGCCCAAGCGGCTTCAAGGCCTGCAGCTCAGGACGACGGGGGCAGGGCCCGGGCCTCGGCCATAAAGCTGCTCCCCGATTTGCGCATCCAACAAAGGAAGACGAGGAAAGGCCCGGAACTCGGCCCTTCACCCGTCCGTGACCGTGACCACGGGACACCTGGGTGAGCCCCCCGCGCCCGGGCCTCAGAAGAGGCCACCTGCTTCTCAGGAGCGGCCCCTGGGGCCTGTGGCAGGCGGCCGCCCCGGCCCGTGTACCTGGTACCCCCTCACTAATGCTCATGCGCCGTCACCGACAGAGCAAGGAAGCCTGGGCCTGTCTCTAAGCCCCTTCGCTAGATGATAGGTCTAGATCGTTCCGGAAGCCCGCATCTGCACAACTTGATCCTGACGGCGAGGTGGCTGCCTCCTGAGTTCGCACCCCTCCTCAAGGTGGGGGTGTGGGGTGCAGTCACCCCCTCGGGGCTGGAAGGCAAGGACAGACCGCCGGCCTGTCGGGAGGGCAGTAAGCCAGGCGACTGAGCTAAACGCGGCCTCACACGGAACTCAGGGGCCACCGGCCACCACAGACGCCGACCCGGGGCGTCTGGGGACGCCAGCCAGCCTTCCCTCCAGTGTGGCAGGAAGGACTGGGAGCCCAAACCAGACCCTCCTCCCAGCTCTAGCGCCCCGCCCCCGAAGAAGGGGGACCCCCGGTGGGTCTGACACCCTGTCCCTCCCGGTGCTTTTGCTGCTACAAGCCTGTGGTGCCCACGGCCGAGCTGTCTGTGGCTTAGGGCCACGAGGGGAAGGGAGGAAGCACCTTGCAGCACTGCGGCACCTCACCGCCATCACGTGAGGCCCCTGGATGCTCTCAGAGCCCACTGGGGCACCTCCCATTATGGGCGAACGGTGTCCCCCAAAAGACATGCTGGGGTCCTAACTGCCAGCACCTCAGAATGTGGCTGTATTTGGAGACGGGGTCTCTGAAGAGGTGATCGCGTTAAATGAGGTCACTGCGGTGGACCGTAAAGCAACCTGCCTGGTGTCCTCGTAGGGAGAGATTCGGACACGGTCTCTCCGTGTCTGAGGAGGACCATGTGGGAAGACACACACGGCGGGGGTGACGCTGTCTACAAACAGATCCCTCCCCCACAGCCCTCACGGGGATCCAGTCCCGCCCACCCCTAGATCTCAGACAGCCAGCCTCCAGAACTGCCCGCCGAAGCTGCCCAGCCCGGGGCGCTCTGTCCTGGCGGCCCTAGTGGAGTGACACCCCTCCCACAAATACTCCGGCTTCGTCCCCAGACCCCAGGCCCCTCCCACGTCCTGCCGGGAAGCCTGGCCCCGCCTCACCGCTCAAGGGCAGAGCGCTCCGTCCCCTACACCTGCCTCAGGACCGGTCCCCAGACGCCCAGGGCCCCTCTTTCCCAGCACTGGTCCCTGGGTCCCTCTTGTTCATGAACTAGCCAGTCAGGTGGTCTGACCTTCAGATATCCTCCCAGGCACCCCGTCCCCCGTCTTCGTGGAAACTCCCACGTTTCTGACAAAGCCTTTGCGTGGGAAAGAAACCAAGGCCGGCAGGGCGGCACCGGGCGTCTCCATCACACGGGCTCCGTGCAGGGAACCACCGCATGGGGACCGACTGCACCTCATTTACACTCAGACTCGGTGCCAGTCCC